TCAATAGTCCCATTAGCATTTATTTTCTTTTCTAAAATCCATTTGGAACCAAGTGGTTTAGAACCTGGAGGCAAATCAGACAACACCCATGTGTTGTTCTCAAGAATTGATGATCTTTCATCATCAATTGCTTCCTTCCAAAAGGCACTATCACGAGAATTTGTGGCCCCTTGATATATTTTAGGATCATCTTTAATACCATAATAATAAGAGTATTCAAGATTAATTTTATTCCTTGAACCTTCCACCAAATACAGTTGGAAGTCTGATCCAAATTTTTTCGCAAATTGGCCTCTTTTGCTTCTATGAAGCTCTTGTAGCTCTTATAATTTACTACCATCTTGAATTTCTATATTTTACACATTATTAGTACCAAAAGTCAGATACTTAGCCCTTTGAATTGATGAAAAACGCATCTCATCAAAAATTGCATCCCGTGATTCGATTACAATGTTAATTGAAACCGAATCATTAGGTTCTATTGTAACAACGTAATTTTTCAAAACAACTTTTCATTTCTTTAAAACATAATTTCATTAAAAAAAAACCATAAAAATCCAATATAACGTACTCATAATACAAAACATGTCAAATCCCAAGATCAACTATATCCAAATCCGCCTGCGGGTGTGTGTACGAGTTATGTCGGCGCCTTCCCACGGTACTCGCTAGTACTTGAAACATATAACACAACAATTGTAAGCATAAATGCTTAGTGAGTTCCCCCAATATACCACCTACACACATACGAACTTCCAGGCCATGAATTTCCGGTCCATGTGTCTCAGGGGACTTCCGTCTCAACCCGGTAAACCTTTCGGTCCTACCCGTGTCGACCTTCCGGTCCATAACTCCCTGACCTTCTGGTCTACATCATAATGCCTTCCGGCCCATAACATAATGCCTTACGGCCCATATCAAGCATATCATACATAACGCATACAAAATAGGCAACTAATAACATATAATGCATATATCTTATAGTATACCAGACCTTCCGGTCACACATAGGTACCCTTCCAGGTACAGTATAGTGAGAAAACTCACATCGTATGATGTTTAGTGTCTCACGTGCTCGATATCTTTGAATCTCGCAACAACGACCTAGCCTCGCCTAATCACATCAAGTATTTATTCCAATTCATTAACGACTCTCAAGGCTATACTATATTCCTTTCTAAAATTCCATAGAAGGTTAAAAGACCATTTTACCCCTCCCTGACTCAAAAGTCCACATGTTGACTAAAACCCTAAAAGTCAACAAAAGTTAACAGCAAGCAGTACGCGGGGCGTACCTTTGCACTCCAGAAACGGGGAACGCGACCCCCTACGCGGTGCATACTAGGATTACGCCCAGCGTAATGCCCAGTTTCTTTATCCAACAGATTCAGGTCTTAATCGATTAAGAATTGCATCCAAACTTCATATCTGACTCCTCTAATATGACTTAATCCATAAAGTTGAAATCTTTAAGCCTTTGCATGGCTGTAAAGGTCACTTTATGCTCCAAACACCTTTCCTCTTTCCATAATGAGACTATAACTCATGCATGACACAAGATCCACGTCCAAGACTAGATTTTTATGACTCCTCAACACATTATACACTAGAAAAGGTCAGATCTAAGCTTATGGAGACTCTTTGCACATAAAGTCTCCAACTTTGAACCAAAAACCCTAAAAATGGTACAAAAAGAAAAACTTATGAAGAACAAGGAAAGCTTTGAGCTTTTTACCTCGGAAAGGATCTCCAAACACTATAGAACTAGGATCTACACTTGTTCTTCAACTTCTAGCTCCAACAATGGCTCCTTCTTCTACTTCTTCACCTTGAAAAGATACCTTCAAGCTCAAAAACACACACACAAGCTAAAGCACGAATCTCAGCTCTCCAAGGACTCACTCATGGGGATATGGTGGCTAGGAAAAAGGACTACATGATCCTTTTATAAGTCAAAATCCAGGAATTAGGGTTTTGCATCTGGGCCGGTTACGCTCGGCGTAACCTTGGGTACGCCCCGCGTACAAATTAAGCGCGCGACCCATCTTCAACACCAACCCATCTTCAAGCAGAGTTAACGTTTCAAACATCCGTTTATCCTTGCATACATGGTTCGTTGCCCCAGAGTCAATCCACCAAGCAACATCGATCATCATCCTGTACATAGAATAACTCAGGAATGAATGAAACATAGTAAACATAATTCTGATTAGAATTATCAAAGTTAGTCAAAAACTGACATCATTTAACTTGGGCCGAAGATCCGTTCTCTTTCCCATTGGCTCCACTATTTCTAGAACGATTGTTGCCTAAATTCACATGACAATCACACTTGCAATGCCCAACTTGATTGCACCCCCAACAAACCAGATCCTTTTTTTTTTTTTTGGAGTTGCTTGGGACAAGTTCCTGCTTACGTTTGTTGTGTCCTTTGTGGTTCTGATTCCTTGGTTTGTTTTCAACCATATGAACCGAGGGTTGTACAGATTCAACTTTTTCCTTTAGATTTTTCAGTTTTGTCATTTTCTTTCGCATGAAGAGATTCTTCAATACGAATGTGACTAGCAAGTTGAACCAAATACAGCTCCTCCTTTTGATGTTTTAAGTTATGTTTGAAATCTTTCTAGGATGAAGGCAGCTTGTCAATGATGGTTGGTACATCAATAGATTCATCAATATTCATGCGGTGCAGTTTAAAATGATCGTATATGCCAAGGAGTTCATTGTATTGTTCATTAACAGACATTAAATCGTCCATATTATAAATGTTAAAGTTACTGAACATAACTTCTTTCTAGAAGCATCCTTGGTGATATATTTCAATTCAAAGGTGTCCCACAACTCCTTGGCACACAAGACTTCACTATGTATATCAAATGAAGCATCAGACATACCATTCAGAATGTGACCTTTGGAGATCTAGCCATCCTTGTCCTACTTACGTCTCCTCCATATCTCTTCAATTGTGTCAATAACACCTTCCTTAGCCTCCACTAGTCTTGGAATAGTCAGCACGGACGCAGCTTTCAGAATAGTCAACATGAAGTGTGCCTTCTTCTTCCAACGCCTGAAATCGATGCCTTCGAACTTCCAACCTGGCAAACTTAGTTTCCATCTCGCTGATTGAGTCACCCATCTCCAGGAACAGGGAATATCAGTTCGATTATAAGAAATAGTAGGGTTTGTAGTAGAGATTTGGATACCAACTTGGACTATGTGAACATTTTCCGAACTGATATTTCTACCTTATGCATGGGTTATAAGAAGTTCAGCCTACGATAATCCAAGAGGACACTTACGATTCTAGACACAAAAATCGTAAGCCAAATTGCTAGAAAGATTCTAAGAGTATTTGAAGAAAAACAAAAGCTATTTTTCATGTATATCTTCTCAAAAGGAAGAGTCGTTTATATAATAAACGAGATTAGAGTTTCATTAGGGTTGGACCGTCATGAGTTGCTATTGAATAAAGTCAGTGTAATCTGCATTTTAATGAGGATTTAGGGTTTCCAAAACTAATGAGTTTCGTTAGTTTTACTATAATCACCCTCAAGAATTTGAATTTCCCATTAAGTTCCTATATGCAAAATTCAGAGAGGTTTTGGAGCTTTGTCCCTTGGACCCCGCTAAGAGCACTGCTCCTCGACCCCGCCAAAGGGGTGCCACCTCTTTGGAAACCCCAGACCCAGAGGTTCTGCCCCCAGACCCGCCGACTTGTCGTTGAACCGAGTTCTAATTTGATCTTATACATGCATGGACTCCCCACAAACTCATATATATATATATATATATATATATATATATATATATATATATATATATATATTAGAGTATAAATTAGGAAGCCCCTTAGCTTATATGTTAGTTTCAATCACATAAAATTACATGATGATACTAAAATCACTAACTTTTTTACTTAGAATCCATATGGAGAATATTTACATTTCAACATCAATCTCAAGATCTTAAGCTTCTTTCCAAATTTTAATCACTCTAAATGCATATGCTACAACCAGCACCAATTGGTGGAATAAAAAACCCAAAAATGTTGTCTCATGTTGGAATTCGGCATGCTTCAACTTTAGGTTCAACTTTTAGGTGGTCTTCCATGTATAAAATAATGCATATTCCATGTATAAAATAATGCATATGCTACAATTAATAAACTTATGTAAATCCATAAATTTGTAATTTAACTTGTTTTTCTTTCTTTTCATTTAAGGCAACAAGAATAAAATTTATAGATAAAAGCCAAGAGGCTTTAATTAGTGGAAGATGTGGTTGATACAGCTTGGAAATCAGACGTGGGGGTGTTCTTTGAATACTGATGGATCAACGTGATGCCCTCTTCTTCTCTTTGAAACAATAAAAAATTAAATGACAAGAATCTACATTCTTTATTTTATAGTGCGTAAGAGGAAAACTAAAAATACTCCCCAATGAAATAATTTCATCTAAAAGACAAGCCAAAATTTTCTATTTTGTAATGCCCAAAATAGTATAAAATTTTTTGTTAAATGTTTTGATCATTTGAATTTAATGACTTTTACCGTGGTTCTTTAATTTTCTTTTTTTTGGAATTTTATTATTATTAATGTGCATTTGAGATTTGACATATTTCATTAATAGGGTTACACTTTTATTAATTACATATTCTGCGGGTGCTTTCACTTCTTTTCCTCCCCATTTCACGAACACGAGATAAATAAGAGAGGCTTAACCAAAACTGATCGTAGGTCCTTTTGTCCATGATGCATGCATCTGCAATGGCTTACGTCATGTTGTGGATGCACCCAGGAATCTGATCCTACCGAAATCCCCATTTATATATCTACACATCTAGCTTTAATATGATGGAGAATCAATCCCATTAATTTGAGTGATGCATGATTAAGTCCTAGCTAGCTTACTTGTTGCACATGTCATAAATTTCATCGACTATATATCTTTATCATCTATCACGATTATATAATTGAAATCACCAACCAAGACTTTTTCATGCAAAATCCCAATATAAAACCCACTTTATTTTACTCCATTGTTGCATATATACTCTAAACAAGACCAAATCCTGTACCCGAAAAGGCTTAACAGATATCATAATGTCTGATTTGCCGATGAAGTATGGATGCGGTGTATTTAGTGCTGTTTTTGGACGACGAACAAGACGATCTGTCTCAACGAGTTCTCTCCCGACTGACAATTTTCCCGACATCTCAACAACTCCAAGCAGCCAGAAGTCCAATTCCACGAGGCTAAATAGTTCAGATTATGCATCCTTCGATATTTCATCAAGCCCAGAACAATCCCAGAAACAAGTCGACCAAATTATTGCTAGGCCTTTGCCAAATCAAAAAAAGAAAGCAACCCCACCATTATATGTTCAAACCCCGCAACAAGTTAAAAAAAGCGAACCAAATGGTCAACAACACAACCAAATCTATGGTCAAAACAAAAAGGAACTCACCCGAGGAACAAGTGGGATATTAGAGGATCTTGAAACCATGATCGATGATCATCAGCGTTCAATCTATGCTGGTAACATGAAGGTATTTGGTAATTTAGGCAACTTACAACAACTAAATTCAAACAATGTTGATTATCATCCGAAGACTGTTAAAGAACATGGGTCCTCCCTCCCAAACGGGAACATAAACAGGATACCTAGAAAAGATGTACTGAAACCAGTAAAGCGAACTGCTTTCTGTAGAGCTCTTTCAACAAGAATGGATCCTGAGCAGTTGAAGATCATGGGAAACGAAGATTACAAAAACGGGCGATTTGCTGAAGCGTTGTCTCTCTATGACGCTGCAATTTCAATTGATCCGGAAAAGGCAGCCTACAGAAGCAACAAAAGTGCAGCCTTAACTGCCATGGGTAATCTTTTAGAAGCAGTGTTCGAAGCTCGAGAAGCAATCAGAATAGAACCCTTTTACCAAAGGGCTCATACTCGTTTAGCCACATTATATCTCAGGTTAATTATTAGTATATCTCATTATTAGATCTTTATGTTCTTTATGCTTTTTACATGAATAAAAACTCGAGTGTAATTTCAGACTAGGGGATCCAGAAAATACAATTCGTCATTATAAACAGGCTGGCTCAGAAGTCGAGCCTGAACTATTAACAAAAGCGCAAAAACTACAAGTGCACTTTAATCGGTGTAATGACGCAAAGAAGCGAAGAGATTGGAACACAATGATAAAAGAAAGCAGTGTAGCGATATCTTCTGGTGCAGATTTTGCATTACAGGTATAGATCTATTATGTCCATTAAAGATTGCATGGTTAATTAAGTTAATATATGTAGACTAATATCGTGTGTTTTTGTATGTTGAAAATAAATTAAGATATTTACGTTGAAAGCCGAGGGGTTGTTGAAGTTGCATAGGCATCACGAAGCAGACGAGGTGTTGAGTAATGCGCCTAAGTTTGATGTAGATGACTGCAACAAGTTCTATGGTCCGATCAGCCATGCTAATTTGTTGCTTATAAGGGCTCAAGTCGATCTTGCTGCTGGCAGGTATTCTGTGATGAACATTATCATATATGCTTAACCATATATAAGTATTCGTGCAAAGTAATTATAGTGTTTTTATGTAATGTATACATCAATGTTAAATTTGTTATAATTACTTTTAATAATAATAATAATTAAAATTCGATTCTATTAAACGAAATGCTTACAAAATGTAATCTTGCTGTAATTATTGATCGAACTAGCTATTAATAATCTAAACTGCTGATTATAACTTATATTTTGGATGGAATAAAAAATTAATTTATGTTATTTGACAAAGTTTTAATCCTATGAGCCAGAGGGATTACGTGCTATTAATTTAACAAAATTTTAAAATAATATTTATGGAAACTGACAAGTGAAGGAAGGTGACCAACATGCCCACCTACCTTCGACGTTTTATATGCCATATATACAAATAAAATAAAACCAAATTTTATGTTCCATTGACCATCCATTAGATCTTCTAGATAAATAAATAGTCGATATAAAATGACACGGTAGTTAATACAATATTATCATGTACGTAAAAAAAATGAAAAAAAAAAAAAAAATCAAACATAAAGTTGAAATGTAATCTGTTCGACCATTCTATATTCAACATTGTTTGGTAGAGCTTTTATAGATTTGGTCATGGTTTATAACATGACCAAGTCAAAAATAATCATATATATGATTTATTCTAATATATACGCAGTTAAAACATTTATAGAGAAAATAAAAAATGATAAGTTTAGTTATATGCCAAAATGAAAATATGATATGTTAAAGTTAAAATAAAAATCTTTCTATCTTATATGTATAACATTAAAGCTTTTGAATTATATATATGTTGCAATCGACAGGATTGATGATGCAATGGAAGCCTCCGAAATGGCATCAAAGATGGACTCGAACAATAAAGATGTGAACATGATGGTGTGCAAAATTAAGGTAGTGATGGGTGCAAGGTCCAAAGGCAATGAGTTGTTCAAAGCTGCCAATTATCTCGACGCTTGCGTTGCATATGGAGAGGGACTTGACCATGACCCATTCAACTCTGTGTTGCTTTGCAACCGCGCTGCTTGTCGAACAAAGATGGGTCAGTTTGAGAAAGCAGTCGAGGATTGCACCATGGCTTTGAACATTCGTCCCACTTATAGCAAAGCAAGACTACGAAGAGCTGACTGCAATTTTAAGGTGAACCACTTTCATACAGAACCCACATCTTGGTTATTCATGTTTCCTGTTATTCGTGTGTGGATTGATCAAATGGTTTAATCTTGCTGAAGTGAGTTATGAAAGTTGCTTATCCTTAAAAAGCATGCCACTAAAATTAACATCTATTAATAAAATGATGTATGTGTAATATGAAAGTTAAGTTCTTTCAACAGTTTAAATCGAAAGTGTTGTTTGGACTTACATTTCATTACACGTCTATGATCATTTTCTTGATATGACATAATTTAGATTATGAAGTTAACTTCCACGTTCTTAGGTGTTAGAAAATTAGAAAACAATATTAGGGATATGATTTTTTTAATGGCAGCAATTATATTATAGGGAGGTGTTACAAAACAACATTCGGAAACAAAAATGAGAGCTGAGTATGACTTCTAAATTAAGCCAATCTAGACGATAGCATCTACTACGGATTGACACCTTGTTAAAGGAGGACTTTACCATGGAGTTACTTACTAAATCTGCCTTTTTGGAAAACCACCTTATTAGTCATGTCGCCAAGGCATGTTTGTAACAGTAGTGTGTTCACTGCTCCATGAATATCTTAATTCGTTATTTTCATAGTCCACGAAACGAACTCTCCAGTTTGAGAACTCAATCCAATCCGGTTGGCAGCATCATAATTAATGAAAATATGATATTCATATTTGATGTCTTTAGAGACCGAGCATATAAACAGCTTTAATGTCTTTTTTGTCCAGGTTGATATGGTGAGTTATTCACTTTGATTCTCCTAGAAAATATGTTTTCTTTTATTGGGAATGAGATTGACTCAACCAAATTTATCATTCTCGTTATCGAACATCTTTCAGTCAACACACCAAGACCTTGTCTTTGCTCCATGACACACCTATTTATCGATACGTTCTACTAGTTATTGTTGCACAAGAAAGTAAATAGAATGTAATACACAAGGATTTAATTGTTATTTGGTCGATGTAACTTACATCCACGGGAAAGAATATGATAACCCTTTAATTATTACTATTTGAACGTGATTACATTAAAATCCATAGTAACAAATATTCTTAATCGAAAAACCATATCAACTATATGGCCGAACCCATATGCACAATAACACCCTATAGGCCCTAAGCCTACTCCAAACCCTTATGTTGTCGATATATGGTGTTTGGTTTCTTTAATTCCTTTTGGATCAGATTATTCATTCGAGTCACCAAATTCTAAGTCATAGATTAACAATATCTACCTTTACTTGAATTGTCTTTAACCATCGAGGATTCCCAAGAGCCGTCTCCTTCCTGTCAATTTTCACCGAAGGGACTTACCACCGGCTAACATCTACCAAATCCAATCAATGCTTGAAATTCTCCATGGGTAATGACTTTGTAGACATAATAAAGGACATTTATCTCCCAAAACCCAGATGGATTTCTAGAGGTACAAAGATGTTAAGTGTTAAGTCATCATAGAAGCTTATCTAAAGAAAGAAAAAGAATCGGTGAAATTTGGATCTTGAAAGCTTAAAAGATGAATGTACATAAATATTAAAGGATGTAAGTAACACCCGGTTTTGAAAGTGCTTCGTTACTCGGAGCTGCGGCCCAATCATTAGTTTCCATAAGGTTTAGGGCTTCGAGAAAGGAAAGATTTAGCCCATTTTGGATGTAGTTGCCATGGTTTAAGTGATCCAAGTGTGCGATTGTTTCTTTGGGGGCCAACGGTATAATCGTAATTTGAGATTTCGAACATTTATAGATTTTCCTTTCTTATTCTATAAGTTTTTAGGCAAGGGTGAGTTGTTAGAAGCGTAGGGCTTCTCGTCACCTTTATGTGGATATAAAGTTCACTAGAAACAAACTTAGAATGAGGGAGTTATGGTACTTTGAAGGTTTTGGCAAAATTAGCCTCTAATGGAAATACTTGGCAAATCAGTCCCATGCATGCACATGTTCAGCTGGGTACACCCAACGAATGAAGGTAAATGATCACGGGTGGTTATTAAGTACGTCGGGCATACTCCTTTCAAACCAAAACCCTAATCTCTCGACTTGTGGCCTATATGAGATGTCTTAATACGTAAAGTTGGCAACTTTACTCTTTTGCATGGCTTAATGGGACCAAATCCTTAATAACATCCACAATAAACATCCAAACTCATGCATGCTTTAAAATAATTCATCAAGATGGCATTTTTATGAACTAGAGACCTCCCAAAGGCTAATATCCAACATACTCACAAGGATGACACTAAGGACAAAAATGAACCCAAAATACTCCTTAGACTAGATCTTAAACCTAGATTCATCAAGATAGAAAATGTATACCTCCAAAATGTAGATCAAGATGTAACAAGCCTGGATCCAAAAGCTATAAGCAATCCTACACTTCTCAAAGAGTTCCTTTTCTTCTATGAACACCAAAAAGCATGAAATACCACCAAAAGCTCACAAACCACTCAAATGAGGTCTATGGTTTTGTTTCTAAGGATTATAGGGATGTAGGCTAAAGATAATATGGTTTAGTGGTGAGTTAAAGAGCTGAAATAGGGTCCAAGACCCTAAATTAGGGTTTGGGTCTGACTGGAGTATGCCTTGCATACTTCTGGTACACCTAGCGTACTCCATAAGGCATGCACGATCAACTTGCTTAGTACGCCGAACATACACCGATGTACTCCCCATGTACTGGCCTTAACACTAGTACGACATGCGTACACTTGTGTACTCCCCGTGTACTCGGTTTCACCCTTAAACCACTAAACTTCCAAAGGCCATAACTTCTTCATTATAAGTCCGTATCCGAAGATCCTCATATCCACGAAAAGGTAACGAGAAGTTCTATGCTTCTATCAACTCACACTTGCCTTAAAACTTCCTGAACTAAAATCAAATTTTCCATAAAAGCCTGAACTGACACTTTACCAATATATCCCATTGGCTCCAAAACACAAACCGAACTCCCAGGTCATCTAAATTAGATTACCCACACCCAAATGAGTCTAAATCTCTTCTTCTCAAATGCCTTAAACCTAATGTTACCCGATCTTTAGTCACCACCCCGCACTAGGAAACGATTCGAAACATAGCATTACATATACATACACAAACACATGCATACAAATTCATAATCATAACAACAACAACAACAACAACAATAATAATAATAATAATAATAATAATAATAATAATAATAATAATAATATTATTATTATTATTATTAACAAAAAATATAGTTATAATAAACCTCATAATAACAATGCAACTTTTGACGAAATAATAATAATAATAATAATAATAATAATAATAATAATAATAATAATAAATATAATAATAATAATAATAATATAAATTAACAATTTTTACATTTAAATTAAATATTGTATGGAATAATAATATTATATCTATAATAATAATAATAATAATAATAATAATAATAATAATAATATAAAATAATAATAATAACAATATTAAAAGAAAATGAGAAAAGGCAAAAAGAGAAGGGAGGAAAGATTTTCATTTCCAGCTGTTCATGTTTCCCACAGTTTTCCAACAAAAAAGTAATTCGTTGGTTTTCTGTAGGAAATTTTCAACGTTTTTCCGACAGATTGTTTGTTGTTTCTATATATATATCGTTATTTTGCTGAAACTTTGTTGGAATCTTAGTTTGGTGTAACTTTGTTGGAAATTGTTCGAAAATTACCTACAAAGTATTTTCGTCAGAAATTTTAGTAGCTAAAAGAAATTTTAGTAGCTAAAAGCAAATACTCTAGTAGTGAATAAATCAAAAAAGAAATAAATAAATAAGGGCATAATGGTTTTTTATGTACGGAGGAATGAATCGTGTTTGTTTTAAACTAATGAGGGACGGTTCGAAATAATTGTTGAAAATAAGAACCAAACATGTTTTTGGCATATGTATAAAAGACGATTCATGTAATTTATTCTATTTATTTTGATGTTAATTGAGATGGTTGTCATCGACGACACATTTGAGGATATCGTGTATTCCTTGAGGCTAATCTTATTAGTTGGAATTGCATGAAATAACCTACAATGACCTAGATGCAGAGTATTAGCTTTAGAGCATACAGTGTGGGTCACAACGAGAAATGAATTGGCTGAGTTGGCACATGAAAACGGCGTCATGACACGGAGAACACCGCCCCCCAACTTGTTGAATCTCGTTATGGCACTTCTCGTGCTCGTTACCACATATTGAAACGAGAATAATAACCAATCAAAATCATTTTCTTATCTCTTTCTCTCTTTCTCTCTCTACCTTTTTCTACCTCTTAACAAATTATGACATTGGAACACCACCCCCTCTTCTTGTTACTTCTTGTCATAACACCACTTCATGTTATCCATACCATATGCTCTTAGTGAACGTATTAGCTTTAGTGAACACTACTGCAAGCTCCATTGGATTGTATGTTTAATTCTTGAACTAAGTATTTCTATTTCTTCTCCTCCTAAGTTGTGGTGCAATAATATTAGGGATAAATACTTAGACGCTAATCAAGCATTTCATGAGCACATTAAACATTTTTGATTGATTTTCATGTTATATATGATATGGTAAAAATGGTTTTTGGTTTAGCGGTAAGGAGTGACCCTTTCAAATGAGAGATCATGGGTTCATGTCTCATTAGGAGACATATGTTGTGTTTAGGATTAGACTAAGATAATTTGCGGTTTAAAAAAATAAATAAATAAATAAAAGATATGGTCCTTTCTAACGTTTTGCAAGTCTGCTATATATATGTTGTTACGAATAATAGCTTGTTGGGCTTTTGACAAAGGGACTATATATAAATCCCTTAGTTTAAAACACTTTGCGACAAGCTTCACATTTCTCCCATTGTTTTGCATGTGGGAGGATGAGAAAGTATGAAAGTCAAAACGCCAGTCAGTTAGGAAAGCTCTTTGTACTCTCCTACAAGGAATCAATTGGGTATAGTATTGATTAAGTCAACTATAAAGTTGACAATATAGATTATAGGTAAATTAGGACTCTTATAGATTATTTATAATTAGACCATGTACTCGGATTTATACATATTAAAATACAACGAATTGTAACAGTATGAGATTATTCTTTCTTCCACACTAGATTCTTTTTTGCCATATTAATTTACCATTATAATTATGAGAATTTTTTGAACACTTGTTACAAAATAAGATATATCGCAACATAGTAAATTCATACATACAAGTGATTATGTATCCTTTGATTACTTGTTATTTTGATACCAAAGAATGCTTGTAATGCAAAATTTGTTGGTGCGGTATTCAAAAAAATTATTATATACAATAACTCATTTAATAATTATCTAGCTTTTTCTAAAATAAGTAATTTCACACCGATAAAATTACAAAATCATACATACAAGTGATTATGTATCACTCGACTAATTTCTATTGTTAACGTGACAACTTTAGTATAAAATTACAAAATAATAAAATTAACATACAATTTCTTATTTTATTATATCCATCGAAAGTTGTCACGTTAACAATAGAAATTAGTCGAGTGATACATAATCACCTGTATGTATAATTTTGTAAATATATATATATATATATTATATATATATATATATATATATTATATATATATATATATATATATGATCAATTTCGTTTGAAACCATTATAATTTGTGAGACCGTGAGACCAAATCTAAAAATAATTTTAAAATGTAAAATAAATAAAAAAAATCCAAAATTTCTTTTTTTAAATATTATTTTCGGAACTTGAATTAACTAAAAAAAAAAAAAAAAAAAAATAATATAAAATCCCGTTTTTTTTTTTTTTGAAAAATAAGTGAAATATTCTAATAGAATATTACACTAACATATTATAAAAAATCATTTTAAAATGCAAAATAAATGGAAAAATCTAAAAAAAAAATTAATATTATTTTCGGAACTTGAATTAACTAAAAAAAATCCTGTTTTTTTTTTTGACAAACACGTGGAATATTCTAATAGAATATTACAATGTACATATTCTAAAAAATAATTTTAAAATGCAAAATAAATGGAAAAATCCAAAAATTCTTTTTTTAAATATAATTTTCGGAATTTGAATTAACTAAAAAAAATTAAAAAAAAATAAAAAAAAATAAAAAATTGAGTCTCACGGTATCACAAAAGTAGGCCGTCTCACATGAATCTAATCTTATATATATATATATATATATATATATATATATTATATATATATATATATATATATATATATATATATATATATATATATATATATATATATTGGGTGAAGTTCAATAGAGAACCATAATTAACCAAGGAACCAATCTTTTTTTCAATTTTTAGAACTTATTTTTTATCAAAAAATAAATAAATAAATAAATAAAATAAAACTAAAAATACATAAATTTATAACTTTTTATTCTTTTTCCAATGATATTAAATTCGATTTTTTTACGTCAAATTCACAATGTGAATTTTTGAAAATTCATAACGTTACTAGCCATTCATTTTGTAGATTAAAAAAAATCATTTTTAAAATCCAAAATAATTGAAGATTTTCAAAAAAAAAAAATCAAATATTATTTTCGTCATTTATATTTTCTAAAAAAAATTATAGAAAATAAAAAATTAAAAAAAATATCTTTTTATTTTTTATTTTTTATTTTTTATTTTTATAAATTCTAATAGAATATTAGAATATTTACATATATGAAAAATAATAGAATATTCTAACATTCTTAAAATCGTATTGGAATATTTACAGTGTAATATTTAATTACAATATTTTACATATTTTTCAAAAAAAGGGTACATTTTTTTATTATTTTTTTATTTTTTTTATGTAACTAAAGTGACGAAAATAATAATTAAAAAAAAAAAGAAAAGAATTTTCTAAATTTTCCTTTTATTTTGTATTTTTAAATTATTTTTAGAATTGATCTACGGTCTCATAAAATTAGGATAATCTTAAATGAATCTGAATATATATATATATATATATATATATATATATATATATATATATATATATATATATATATATATATATATATATATATATATATATATATGAAAAAAACAAATACATGTAATAAATATGTTATGTAGTAACATTCCTTTATCTTATATGGTCTTTATCTTATATGGTGGATCACTAAAAATTTTAGTGATCCACCATATAAGATAAAGGAATGTTCCTACATAACATATTTATTACATTTATTTAGTCTAAAATTAGTAATATTGTTTCCTTGTGTGTATATAATTAAAACAGCTGGGAAAGTGGCATGCTTCCGTGGAGGATTATGACATATTAACAAGAGAAGAACCTGAAGATGAAGGGTTGAGCAAAGCCTTTAGAGAGGCTGAAGAGCATTTACAGAAACATTTAGCTGATCTAATTAAATGATTATACGAGACTCCTCATCATGTAAAAAGAAGATCAACAATTTGGATAAAATAGTAGTCAATTGTCTTTTGAGGAGCAGTTTATATATATATATATATATATATATATATATATATATATATTAGAAAAGGCTTGCAAGTGAATATATTTACATGGATATCAAATATTCCCAAAATTGGATGTTACATTAATTCAATCAATCGATGATACTCGCTTTCAAACTTCTAATCTGGATACAATTCCAAGTTGAGAATTTTGACTCATTCACCAAATCTTGATTTTTTCTCACAAAGCTTTCAGAAAATATGGTGGCTTTTATACTTCCAAATAACCCACACAATGGCAATGAATAGTGGAACACAGAAATATATAGCACTGGTGGTACCAAAAACAATTCCCATAATATATAATAACATAGATACTACCAACGGGATCACGTTGGGTCGAGTTGACATATTAAATGGTTTGAGAGTGATGGACCTAGACACAACACATTTAATAAATAGGTTGTCAAATTCTAAACAATTGAATAATTCATAGTCACATGGTTGGCGATACGATTCGGTATAGGTATAGGTTCGCGGTATATAATATGTCCATGAAATTTGATAGAAGGGGTATACTCGTTACGATACGTTCATATACGGTTTACCCTAGTATCTGGTCTTACATTGGTATAGTACAACTATAGCGATTTTTTATATTACATTATATATATATATATATATATATATATATATATATAAAAGGTTATTATATTCTAATTATCTATTGTCTAAATGTCGAAATGATTGTATGCCAATCATTTATGTTAATTAAAGAAAGTGATTATCTTATATAATTAGATTAAAAAAACATTATAATTAAATGTAATGGTGGCTTAAGGGTATTTTAGTATATTAAAATTTATTTAAAAATGGAAATTTTTTTATTTCAAGGAATAATTAATTAATATAATTTTTAAAATATGATTTTAACTGATACTAGTTCTCTAAATTCGGACATTGTTTAAAAACATATTTTCTAACATAATACAAATTATGACAGTAAAAGTTATGACATAATACATATTATGATTGAAAGAATAGCCTTCTATTATTAATATTATTCAATAATATATGGTCCAAAAAAAAAATTACAGTACATTCTATAAAAAAAAGCATCATTCTTGGAATTTTTTTCACATTTCTATAATAATATAATGCTTTATAGTAAGTCACTCTTGAAAGAATATTTATTTTATAATAATACAATGTCATTCTTGACATAATCTTCATTCTCTTTCTTGTTTCCTACTATAGTAGCTTCTACTTTTTGTTAAATGTTTCACTCATAAACCAATCAAAACATTCATCTAGACCTTTTCTTCTTTCTTCTGTAACATCTCTATTCTTATTTCTTCAACCTTCAATCTTCTTTATTGATGTCTGTATCACTCCAGTTAATATCCAATCCACAAACTTCCAACACAATTCCACCCATGTCCTAAAAATCGGTTGACATATACCTACAAAAGAGAGAAAATGGACGCCAACAAATAAGAATGACATTATAACACAATAACATTCTATTAGAATCACATTGTGTTAGAATGATATTCTGTTAGAATGCCAACCATAAAATCAAATTCTATAGATTCTTCTTTGGATTCTTGCATCTTTAAATTAGGATCACAAAAGTTTCATACTTACTTCCAGGATTATCTGAATTCCTTTTCAAGAGTGCATCAGCACACACAGAGTAGTTGGTGTATACCTAGGAAAAGGGTTGTTTTTCATAGCTTTCTGGCCGAACTTTCTCCATCTATCACCATGAAAGAACAAATATATCAACCAACCATGACCAAAATTCACAAGCTTTTTCCACTTTGCAGCCAGATATCAACAGCAAGTCCATTGTATATTCCAAAATAAAATAGGCACAAGTAATACAAATAAAAGATAAATGACCCACCTACATGATTCATTATGCCTTGAGGAACAACCATTTGATAACCATTTGACATTGACACATGCATCCTCATTGGTTGTTGGTCAGACCGTCCTACTTTGGCAAAATCATTTATGGAATCGAAGACATCACGTCGCTTGCTTGAGAGGGCGCCTGCATCATTACAACTGGCGGCTGAACCTAGAATTGGAACTGGCTTTGGCCTTGAACCTCGTAGTTCTGGAAATTAGGGTTCAATATTGGAGAAATTTGAGGGGTAGTTGGAAGAGGCAACGATAGCATTACTGGCCTGTAAGATGGATAGAGAATAGAGACGTACGAAGGAGGCACAAAGGATTGGATCTGCGGCGACGGAGCTGTGCCTGTTGGCTACAATGGTGATGAATTTTTATCGATGAGGACTCTATTCCAATTTACTTTTTGTCGATTTGAGTATGCAGTATTTAGGCTTGTGTTTATGTTGACGATGGATCTTTGGTTTTGTAGGGTTGATAAAATAATTTCCTGATTTAATTATATTAAATGTGTTAAATATTTACTATAACTGAATATAGCAAAAATTATTGTTATACCCTTAATAAAACTTTTAAAATGATTGGTCCACAATCATTCACACATCCACACAATACTTAGTTAGAATACCTAAACCTCTTTCTCTCTCTCTCTCTATATATATATATATATATATATATATATATATATGTGTGTGTGTGTGTGTGTGTGTGTGTGCGCGCGCGCGCAAATGATAACTTTTTTATATTGATAACAAATGAGAACATTTTTTAGACATTCTCTCTACATATCTTTCTCCTCGTTCTCTCTACGTATCTATTAGTGTAATCTGAACCATCATCACCGTCAATGGAAAAGCACGTCATTGGAAAATTATCTCCTTCTAGTATCCTCTTTCTGATCTTATTTTCTGTTAGTCACCAAATCTAGTCACAAGATCCGATTTCATCGATTACAGATCTAAAGCAGAAGGTAACCATATCTACTTCCCAATCTAGTTTCAATAGCCATCGTCGTCACAACATAATGGTGTTTCGATGTGCTTTCACCGGATCTCGTCGAGCGGTGATCAGAACTCGTCATCTTCAACTAGCCACTTCCTTTGTTTGATCGCCACTATTCGATCCTCTTTGCCTAACCATCTTCTTTGGACCACCGTCGCTCATTTGAATGAAGAAATAAATAGTAAATCTCTATCGCTTGAAGCATTTGTGGTTAGGTTTTCGCCGCCATAAGATTAAATTTTTGCTGGTGATAGGGAAATTGCAGTTATTAATTTTTTAATTGTAGTCTCTCATTCCTTTTGTTCGAAAAGAAAATTGCATTTAAGAAAAACAAAACGATATGCAGTTCACTGTTTACTTTGAGTAGGTTACATCATAAATGTATTCCATATTATATTTTTAAAAACTTATCTTTTATATTAAACTATTACTGTCACTGTATGGGACTTCCTCATGAGTCATCTAAGTTAATAGCACATTTTATTGTCATATTTAATAATATATTTAGTAATGATTCCATATAAATCGTTTAAAGTAAATAGCACACTTAATTATTATTGTTATATTTAACAGTGTTACTATATAAATCATTTAAAGTTAACATCACATTCCACTATCAATATTTAATAATGTTTATATGTTACTATTGTTTTAATACCATACAACTATTTAATCACGTTTGATTACGTATATAAAATAATATATGATTAAATTTTTAGTGATTAAATACATATGATTAATCATATGTGATTAAATACATATAATTACATGTGATACATATCTAATCATGTCTGATTTACTGTGTATTTAATCACATATGATATATTAATCTAATCGTAAATGATTTACCATGTATTTAATCACATATTTATTCTTGCATTGTGGATTTAATAGTTGGTCTCGTGTATTTAATCACATATAATTAAATATATAAAATCATACATGATTAAATACATGCGAACAAATATTGAATCAAATGTAAATAAAATAAGTGGTTCGTAGTGATAGGTGGTGGATGTTAGGTGGTAGCTGGTGGTGGTGGTGGGTGATGGTGGAGGATGGTCGTGGTAGGTATTGAGTTTAATCGCATGTGATTATATGTATATAATCATATGTTATTTATTTGGAAAGATTTGTTTTAATGAATATTGTTTATATAAATTATATATGATTAGATTCATATAATCGCATGTAGTTATATGTATTTATTCACATATGAGTTATGTGATTAAATACATACAAAAAAGTACATATAATCTCACATGATTTATGACATTATATGTATTTAATCACATATAATTTTAGTGGTTGTAGGTAGTGGGTGGTGCTTGTGTGGTGGCGATGGGTGGTGAAGGTGGGTGGGTAGTAAGGGTGGTGGGTCATGGATGATGAGGGTTGTGGATAATAGTTAGGTTATGGTGGTTGTGGGTTGTGATGCGTTGTTGTAAAGGATGGTGTGGGTGATATATTGGGTGGTGAGTGGTGGTAATACGTGTTGGTTGGTGATGACAGTTAGTAGGTGGTGAGTGTGGTGAAGGTGACCGGTGGTGGTTAAGGCGAGTGGTGGTGGCAGTTGAGGTACATAATCATATGTGATTATATGTATCTAATCACATGTGATTATATGTATCTAATCACATATAATTTAGATGGACAAGATTCATTTTTTCCATATAAATTAAATGTGATTACATACATATAGTTACATGTGATTAAATGTATTTAATAACATATGATATATATGAGAAATATTCACTTTTGTCCACATAAATCAATTGTGATTAAATATATGTCTAATCACATATGATTTACGTGGGCAACATTTATTTTTGCGTTGTTAATTCAATATTTTGTCTCATGTATTTAATCATATGTGATTATATGCATCTAATAAGATTCATTTTTTTATTTTCGATTACATAATTGTTATCGTGTATTCAGTAAGACGTTATTATATGTATTAAATGACTATAAGTATTTAATCAAACGTGATTATATGTATGTAATCACATATGATTTATATGCACGAGATTCATTTTCGTGTTCTTGA